GAAATGCTAAAATATAGTTATATGTATTTTGATCTAAAAGGAATACAACCTTTTGTTGTTTGTATGTGTGCTTGAGAAATTCAAATTGTATACCACAAATTGATTTATGAGCTGACTATAAATGTAAACCATTTGTGGGTCTTTGGTAGTGGGCTATGAATAATTTTTGCATCATGGATTTAGTTGGTTTTTTTTATTCTACAACGAACATGGGGAAGGTAAATCACAAAGTCCCATAAGCAAGGAAGGTGATACCCATACTTGAATTTGAGATCACTTATAGACTGACCTTCTTAAGTACTACTAGGATAAGCATGTAGAGGTGTCTTATAACAAGTATACACAAGAACTTTTGTCTTCTTTACAAACAACCATCGTGTCTTTTTAGTTTATATCTTTTCATAGTTCTTTATTTATGTGTGGTAGGAAAAATTCACAGCTCAATATGTATCCAACTTTTTAGCAACATCAAATGGCAGTTGTTGGCTAGCTATCCAAAATGGTGGAAGACGTCTTGATCTTTGATTGTTATGAGTTTGACATCACATTGCTAATGGTCAGTGTCGTGTATCTTAAATACGTGAGTAGAGTAGTATCCTACTTTCATTTTATCCTATTACAACAATGTACTTTGAAATCTATCAGTTATAGCAATTTTATCTCGATACAAATCAATTTTCACTGCTATAAGTGGATACGTTTTTTCAAAGTATTGTATCCTAATAAGAAAAAAAAAGTTGAAAATACAATGCTATTATTTTGTAAATTATTCAAAGTATAATACATTAATCTGATTTTTTTTTTTAATTACATGTCCTATTAGAAAGAAATGAAAGCATGATGCTATAATAAATAAATAATGAAAGTACATTGCTATTTATTGAAGTTGGTGTCTTGGTTTGGAAAGGACTTCGGAAGTAAACCCTCAAGTGGTACTTATTCTTCTGCAAGTAAATCCTTGTTGACTAAATTACAAAAAGCGCCTCTGTGTTTTATCTTTTTATAGATTTTGGTTTTTCTGGGGTGAGAGTGTTTAGTTTTATAATGATTTTCTATCAAAATTGATTACATGAGAGGACATTGATCAAAAACCAAGTCATAGGTTTGTTCAGTACTTCAGTTAAGGTATTGATCACAAAGTAACACAAAAAATGATAAATTTTATTTCTAGAAAAGACAACTAATGAAGACTATCTGTATCGTTCTCAATTTTGATTTTCAAGGGTGAAATATATATATATATAACTATTCTCCAAATAACCAATGAAAAAATTAAGATTCAAATGAGGTATGTATGGGATGAGTTTTGGTGAGCCTGAGAGGTGGGTAGAGAAGGGGGTGAGTTGAGGTGAGCTTGGTGTCACCATTTTACAATGCATTTGGATTGTTTTTGTTAGCTTTCTTCCTCTTCTAAGTGCTTTTCAGAAATTCTAGTGACAATGTATTATTGATGATGTGAAGGGAATGGTATGTCATGAAATATTGACTTCTTGGTCTTTTATTACAAATGCTAATGAAATATGCTTACTAAGTTCCATTCCTATATGAAAATTATAATATCAAACTTTTTAATGGATGATAAGTGTTATATGAAATCCAAGTGTTCTAGAAAGTTAAAGTCGAGTAATAATAGAAGGAAACGGCAAAATGTGCAATGAGAAAGGCTTGTGTGTTATATGAACTTTATAAATTGAGTAATTATACAAGGAAATGACAAAATGTTCCAAAGACAATCTTTTGTTGAGTGTTGACTATCAATTTGAAAAGGGAACAAGAGCACAAAAATAAATGTGTATTGTGTAATCAAACATAATCATAAAGCATAGCCGACAATATGTTGTAACCAGCAACACAGAAACACAAACAGTAAGAAATTGGGGGATTTTATAACCAAAAAAGCAGAAAGGAAATGGTCTAAGTTGTGGCTACATAATAGACTTTCCCAGTTATATCACTTAGAATTTCACTTTACTGAACAAGTAGCAGCAAAACATTGAAACATGAGAATCAAAACTCACAATCACATTTTAGTCTTTTCTCTCAATCACATGAACAAAATCAAAAAAATATCAAATATATAAAGTAATAAAAACAACATTACAACTTACATCATATTCCTTACATGTTTATTATCAACTCAAAACCCATTCATATTGTTATCCCCTGCTACAACTATCACAACAAAAAACCGAAAAGATAAATCGTTACTAGAGGTTACAACAAGCAAACCATCTTAATTCTTCAGGAAAAAATTAGGATATAGCTCATTGAGTTTCATGAGATTAAGTTAATGTAGCATCTTCATGTCAAGGACATGACCTTGAAGATTCCCCCTTGTACTACAGATAAAAGGAAAAGTAAGCAAAATATATAATCTCACAAAATATGCAGAAAATATAATACAAAATGCTATTAAAACAGATGTTAGTTGGAAATATTTATATTATGTTACATTTTCTTGATTCAACAGACTTGATGACTCCTCATGACCCTATATAGTGAACTACATTTCCATGACATATTATGACATTCTTACAAGTACATTGTATGGTGAGAACTATATCGTGTTGTTTGTTTTTTTGAAGCAAAAATCCATAAAGTCTGCAGACTACCTCTGCAACCCTCTGCAGTATAAAAGTTGGACCAAACGGCTGCAGACTGTAATAAGAAGCATATTTGTTTTTTTAACATCTGCATGCAGCTGCAAATATTAAAAAATTAAAATAAACTAATTTTATAATCCGAAAATAGTTTTTTAATACCGAAAATTTAATAATGTATAACATTTTGGCAAAAATTTATGATATTTCAGCAAAAATAATGATATTTTAACAAAAAAAATAATGATATTAATCAACAAATTATTATTATTCAATATAAAAAAAAGGAAAAAAATTCAACAAGAATTAAAAAAAAAACAAAAACAAACGGAACAAAAACAAAAAAAAAAGTGAAATAAGATTTCATAAATATATAATCAATATTTTAGCAAGAAAAAAAGAAAGAAGAAGGGGTTGGAAGAGGCAAGAAGAGGTCAAATAAGTGCTGCGCTAAGAAGAAAACGCGCAGATGTTTTTTAATCCGAAGACTTCTGAAAAACAAACAGCTGCGAGATGAAAAGTGTTGTGCGTGTGCTGCACCGCGCAACAATAAGAGGTCTAAAGAGTTTTTTTCTAAAAAACAAACACTTAACTTAGTGACTTTGACACATGATGGCCATGCAATACAAAATGATCTCTTTATATTTGTTTGTACATATATGTTAATTAGCTAAATAAATATGGGATATGTTAAAAAATAAAATCAAAGAATCAGAACATGTCCATACCAAGAGAAGCCTAACCAACTGAAATCCTTGACTTGTATAGTATGCTTGTTAGCAAGCTGAAAAAGCTTCAAGTGAAGAAAGATAAATATGAAATTTACGTCTAGTACTCTAGGAGATCAATGGTAAACAATGAGAATTGTAGTCTAAACTCCTAAAGATCTTAGTAATTTATCAATACATAGAGAAGTAGCATAACATGAAAAAGTGGTTGTTCAAAGTCCAATACAATTCGGTGGGACCATTGTCATTGATTAGAGGGAATTCAAATGATCTTTGGTAGTCAAATAATAGTTCAAGGTTATATAATGTTTATTGGAAGAAATGCAAACTATGAAGCGAACCCCAGTGCATTTGTGGTAAATTTACGTTCTCTATACGTGATGTTTTTTTTACATATAATGAGGCTTTAACCTCATATTGAACTTTGTATCTAATCTTCACAAGCATTTCATCTGTGAAGTTAAATTACAGAATTTACATAACTTTCATTTGAAGGAAAGAAGGCTAAAATCCAAGAGTAATGTATGAAGTTGAAATTCCTTATTAATCCTGTTTCCAACTTTCGGTTTTTGCAAAACTATAATCCACACCATCGGCTTTTGTTTCGGTTTCAGTTTATGCGATTTTCGGTATGCTCACCCGAAGGAAACCCTATGCTACATATATACAAGTTCAAATGGGTCTGATTAATTCTAACTTGGAGCATAGATGTTAACAATTTTCACTTGTTAAGACATAAGAAATTCGACTCCCAAGTAATGATTTAGTAAATACACCAACGAGCTGACTTCCTGCTCTAATATGAGGTGTAGTGATAGTCCATATTCAACCTTCTCGCGAGTAAAGTTTCAAACAATTTCAATGTGTTTGGTTCTTTCATGAAAAATAGGATTGTTTGCAACCATAATAGTTGCTTTAGAATTTAGGGAATATCGAATAACAATAACTTGGATAATTTCTTAGATTGTGATTACAATACTTTCCAAAATCTGTAATTTGACCCTTGAGGTTACACGAATATAGACTTATGGGATAATCCAAGAAATCAAATCAGATCAAAGGATTGTTATGATTCACAAGCACATAATACTTGTGTTCTTTGAGACAGTTTCATAGTTTGGTACAGTGAGAAGAAAAAAAAAATTCGGTTATTCTATCTTGCATGCAACATCCATCTTCCTTTCACACATGGAATATGGTAGTTAATAGTAGTTATAAGGGGAAAACCGTCGCCACATCATCATGACATGATTATCGATTTGTGTGTTCACCCCGCACCTCCAGTCTTAGAACGTAAAGTGAAATCATCATGCCTTGATACTAATACTAACTACACCAAAATATGTTGATAACACTAAAATCACCAACATGTGCATGAATGTTACAACCGTAGTAGCTCACAGTTGGTTTGAGCCATAGCCATGTATTCAAATTCAACACTTAATCGAGAAACAACATTTTGTTTCTTACTCTTCTAAGAAACTAGATTTCTGCCAACAAAAATACAATACCCTAGACTACTTATTAGTATGGTCACCATAATAGTCGGCATCGATAAATCCTTCTATAACATGATCACCATGATTTTGTTATAGAATGCCAGAGATCGGTGCACCTTTTAGATATTCCATAGTTTGGGCAATAACGTCCAAAATGGAAAAACGATATACACTCACGTAATCGTTAGATAGTTCAGCTTTCCCTCAATTCTTCTATGCTTTTCCAGATTCTCAAGGAGATCTCCTTTATTTGCTCTTAGCTTTACATTTGGAATCATAATGGCTCCACAAGGTTTTGACTCAATCTGACCAGAATCACTGCATATATCTAAGCAATACTTCCAGTACGATAAGAAAATTCTTTTCCGAATGCGAGACTTCTGTTCCCATAAAGTATTTCAAGTGAACTAGATATTCTGTTTGAAATCTAATTGTGCCTTTAGTCAGGCCACAAAGTCGTTTGGGTTAACTTTCACCGGAAACACCCATTTACAACTAATTGCCTTTTTACCCGTAGGTAAGTCTATAAAGGCCCATAAACCGTTATGATCAAGAGTATTCATTTCCTCAGTTATAGCGTCCCGCCATCCAAAATGGGTCAAAATTCATCAACAGGTTTGGAAATAGGAATAGAGTTGAACGTGGAATCCAACGAGCGTGAGTGTCCAGATAAACTATCACAGATGACGAAAGATGCAATAGGATACATACATGTACGCTTACGTTTTCGAAGGGCAATGGCGACATCAAGGTCATAGAGAAGTCAACCACCAAGGGATCATCAAATATTGGATCTGCAAACGAGAATGGTAGTGGATTAGGAGAGGATGTGTCAGCTATAGTACACTTGCACAATGGGTGGCCTAGCAAACTCTTGAAGTTGTGTGGGAACAAATGGAGAGGATACCTCAGACGAATGTGGATCATGAGTAGATATCGTACAAACTAACAAACAATCACTATCCCTCTGACTGGATACAAACACCGGGAATAAATATTTTCATGAAATGTAACATCTCGAGAGACTATATCGATTAAGAGTGGGAGAGAAACACTTATACCCTTTCTGGAGTCAAGAGTAGCCAAGAAAGACACATTTTAAAGACTTGGGGTCCAGTTTAGTTATATGTGGGTCAGTGTCACAAACAAAACAAATACTACCAAAAATCATTGACACATGATTGCAATAAAATACATGATCTATGTCAATCAGCAAAATAAATGTGGGACATGTTAAAGAATAAAATCAAAGGATCAGAAGATCTCCATAAAAATAGGAGACTACTAAACGAATACAACAATTGTAAAGCATCAGCTATAGAGTCACTAACTGAAACCCTCGAGTTCTATAGTACACGTGTTACCAAGTTAAAAAGGCTTTGAGTGAAAAAAAAAAAAAAAAGAGAAATATAAAATTTGTGTATAGATTAGGAGGTCAATGGTAAATATTGACAATTGCAATCTAAACACCTAAAGATCTTAGCAATTTATCAATACAGGGAGTAGTAACATAACACCTAAAACTGATTGTTCAAAGTACAATTCGGTGGGACCATTGCCATTGATTATAGGGAATTCAATGATCTCAGCTAGTCAAACAATAGTCCAAGGTTATATAAAGTTTATTGAAGGAAATGGAAACTATGAAGCGAACCCCTGTGCATTTGTGGTAAAAGAACCAGAGATAAGAGACTAGAGATCGAGGCTGAGGAAAGTTGGATTCCGAAAAAATGTTATTAAATTTTGGATTTTCTAACAAAGAAGTTCCACAAATACATGAAGAATCCAAACAGAGGAAATACTTTTAGAAATGATTACAAACAACAACCTCCAGTTAACACATTCCTGAATGCTACCCGACTGTATAAACTTCCAAAGATGATGAAAGTTTAAACCCCAACTAAATTTAAACTTGCATGTTATTATATAGTTCAGTTTCACAGATATGGTGGAGAAAAATCATTTTTCCAATGATTGCAATGTAAATAAAAGGTGGTTAAGCATGGATCATATTATTTCTAGAAATTACGAGAGGCTGAGACAAATGAGAAAGTGCACATGGGACAAATGTGGTGGAGAAATATCAACTGAAGTGGAGACCTGGTCATCATCTGATGAGGACTCCAATAAACAAGCCTAGTTCTAACTTATGGTCGCTAATCCGACGTCAACAAACTCATCAAAGGATCAAGTATTTGATTTTTCCAATTCTATATTTCTATAAATGAACTCAAAAAGCATCTTGCAAATGTAGCCTCTAAACATGTAGAGAAAACAATTCAAAACTCAGAAAGCCCAGGAATATGAAATGTAGGTAAATAAATTGAAGGAAGTTCAGAATGAGGAGGAAGCCCTTAAGGGAAAGACTAAGACTGTTGTAAAGAACTACAACAGAGGCATTGTATGATTAAAATTCTTAACAACAAAAAAATTGACAATAATTGCCTAAGATATCATGTATTTGAAGTTGTCTTTTTCAAGCATTCATTATAAGGTTATAACTCCTTTTATTTAGTTACATCCTAAACCAATCAAGAAATTTGATGAAAGCATTTTTTTGTTGTGTACGCCTTTTATGCATGTGATGAGAGAAAGGTTTAGTTTTGGGTTGTCAAAAAGTATACCTCACATGCACGACCAAGTATGTCAGGCTTCTTTGGGGGATAAAGATCTGAACCACCCTCTCTCTTTTACTGAAAACAAATAAAAAGTAGTATGTTAATTTATTATTTACAAACATCCACCTGGAGAAAGTAGTTTGTATTGGGTCCCCATACTTGTATGTGATCCAACATATCAAGACTAAATGAGTTGACATAGACCAATTCAGATGGATCATTACTTGGGTCGATCCATTTAAAAGTTAGAATGAGAGATTTTATTTTTCATATTTTATAAAAACAAACTCTTATTGTAGTGGTCAACAAATAAAAATCAATGATAAATGGGTGGATTGGATTTAGGTTATATGAAACATTTATTTATCTAATAAAATAAATGGGTCATTATCCATCTAACTAAAAAAGTTGGGACATGGGTCAGATCATTATACATAAGACATGACAATAAAATATTTAATAAATGACATCTACCTTGATAGTCGGGGCCTTCCGTAATGAATTTACGATGATAGGGATACAATATAATGCCATGTGAAGAAAACCGCCCTTTTTCTAAGATGTATTCTCCGGTTGTTGTTTGAAAAGGAGAGAGATCTCCACCAATTATGTGATTCCATGACTTGTAATAACCCAACACATCTTCTTCTTCATCCATCTTCTCTCCTTCATCATACACAAGACTCACCCCACACTCCTTTACAAGTACATAACGCCGCTCTGTAACAGTAATAATAATGTGGTCACCAGCATCCATCTCATTCATCCCAAACATCCAATGACTTAACATCACCCAACAACACTTTCCACCTACATTAAATCTGTCCCTGTGACGTTCATATATCCACATGCGGTTCTTTGTTATATTACTAACTGTCATCATTGGCGTCGTAGGAAAATGACCAGCAAAGGGATATATCTCATCAAAACCTCGCAACCTCTGCAGAGAACAGAAGTTGAGTCCTCTAATGTTGTTTGGAGATGATGATGGGATGGTAAATGATATTGATGGCCCCTCACTTCTATGCCTAAACCAACTTGGCATCTCCTCCGCCTCATACCTTGTGCTGAATATTCCAAATTCATAAATCATCTGCCAAATACAACTACCTTAATTAATCACCATGCCAATTATATTATATTATAGGTATTCACATAAAGTAAGACAGTTAAGTTAAATAGACAAAACCTGGATTTCAGATTCTGAATAATTAGTTCCCATGTGCCTTTGGTTAAGGAAGTCTAAATTAGTCCAGCCCAATCTATGTAATAACTTTTCCTCAACACTCACCATTGGTTGGATTTCGACCATGCCTTCAATTATCCAAGATGCATCATCTGACCCATTTATTGATAGCTGGAGTGGGGACATTTCTGGATTAAATACAACTTTTTCTATATCATACAAATCATGAGGATTAATAAACAACTTTCTTAGTGTACGTGGAGGATACTCGACTGACTTCAATTTTTTACAATTATCCATACTAAGTATCTCAAGTCCAGGAAGGGTTCTCACACAACTTGGCATGGAATTGATTGGATTGCGATCTAAATATAACTCCTTTAACATGGATAGACAACTGAAGTCCATGGGAAAGGATTCATTGGACAACTTGTTCTTTGCAATTGACAATGTTACCAAAGACCTTGGTAAAGACATTGCAAAGGACTTCAAATCATGTGGTATAGCACCCACAAAGGCAGAGAAAGAGGTTTTTTGGTTTATGCCAATGTTGTTAACCGTGCACATTTCCAGTGAATCCATATCCATATTCTTGATTTGAGATTCACCAAGATTACAACCATCAAGCAACACTGTTTTAACCTTCTTTAACATGCCTATATTTCTTGGAAGCTTTTCAAGCTTCTTGCAATAGCTCAGATCGATGAGGATAAGTTCAACACAATGCTGAATTGTTTCACAAACATCAAGCAAACCAATGCAGTTTCTAAGTATTAACCTCTCAAGCGCAGGGAGTAGGTCAAAGTCACCAACACTCTGAAGTTGTTTACAGAAACTTAAATTAAGAATCTTCAGTGAACAAAATAACCTTTTCTCTTTTATGCATGGTCCATCCAACTAAAAAAATAGAAATAAGTTAATATGGTATTAGTTTCATCAAATCACATGCATGAATATTTAATAAAGATAAGTTTACCTTTTGCCTCTTCTCAAGTTGTTGTGGATTACTATAACTGACAAATGATTCAATATTGCTATATGACATGTCAAGAGCAACAAGATTCTCTATAGGTAACTCTGAAGGTATAGACTTTAAATGAAACCCATGCATACACAAGCCTCTTAATTCCTCTGGAAAATTCTCATAAGTCCCATACAAGTGCACATAATTAAGTTGTAGTAGCATAAGACTATACATGTTACTCAATGCATCTGTTTTCAGCTCAAATGATGTTCCCAACTTCTCTTTCTCAAGCATTCGCATGTCAAGGGCAAGGCCTAGAAGATTTCCCTTACCCTAAGAAGAAACATAATGAAAATAAACAAATTAGAGAATACCAAATATTTTGTACATGCACACTACTAAAATCATGCATGGCCTCTTACCTTTTTTTCTTTTAACACTCTGAAGGAATCCTTATGATACCATACACGACTTCGCTTCCATGGCTTGTCATGTGACTCTTGACCTACAACGAATCTACCCATCTCTTGAACCAACTGATGCATCTTCAATTCATTATTCCGTCCAATACTAAGAAGACATCTGTCAATGAGATTCGTAATTCCAGATCTTGTGTTTATATCACATGCCTCTAATATTGTTTCACTAACATATCTATCTGTTCCAACAAAAAAACAAGCAATATGCTTAAACAATTCCTTGTCGTTTTTGGATAGCAAAGAGTCAAAGCTCATCCTCAAGACATTATTTACAGGGGAACTAACTTCTTTCATTAGCCCTTCCATGCAACCTTCCCAGTACCCCACATCCCGATTATGCAAAGACTTGCCCAATACTTCAAGAGCCAATGGTAGTCCTTGACAATACTTCACAAGCTTATCCAATACCTCTTCGAAACCTGCCTTGGGATGGTTGCACATGAATGCATGAAAGCAAAAAAGTTTCCTTGACTCGGTCCAATTTAAACCTTCAAGGAAGTGTTTTGCATGCTTGGGTCTAATGTTTGTTTTGAATAGTACACAACTCTCTGTCAACCATCTGTCCTTTGTTGTAATTATAACTTTGGTTCCGGGATGAAAACCTTTGCTTCCAAGTAATGCATCTAACTGAACAAGAGTATTGATATCATCAAGAACTAGAAATGCCTTTTTACGGGCTAGTGCATTCTCTATCTTTGAGGTGTTCACTGAAACATCATAAACGTGAATTGAACTTGGTTTTGAAATTTCATAGCAGAGTTGTTTTTGTAAATCAAGCAACCCATTAAATTTTCCATCACATTTTCTTGTGATATCTTCAATAAAGCTGCTTGTTTGAAACTCACGAGAATATAGCCCATACACATGTTTGGCTAAAGATGTCTTCCCGATCCCGCCTATACCCGAAATAGTGAGTATATCTGCCGTATGTGAGGATCCATCTTTCAACCATGAGGTGATGAAGTTAATGGAATCGTCCATCCCAATAAGTAGTGGCCGAATACTCCCTAAAGGTAAATGTAATCTACGGTTGATGTTCTTCACAATTTCTTCAATAAACTCACTCTCAAACCTGAAGCTTGATTTAATAAGAATTACAAAATACAATCCAATAAACTAACAAACCAGATTTTCGAGATTTTATTTAAATAAAGATCCAAATCAAAATTATATCATAAATGTTAGTGTTAGATATATGTGGAATAGGGTTTATTTGCTTTTAGGTTACTTTATTTGTGTTTTTCTGTTTTAGGTACACTGGTTGATTTATAAATGAGGGTTTAACATCTTTATCAATGACAAGATAATATTCCAGAAATCTGATTCCTTAGCAACAACTATTAGTTTTAAAGTTTTAATTTATTCTTCCCAACAAACCATATTGTCTTCATTCTAAATTTCTAACCGTATACATATCTAATGTGTAACGTCATAAATATTTATGTAAAATAAGACCAAAATTACCAATGTAATACATGTTTTCACTAATGGGCCTTGTAACTTCACTATGTTTCTACAAGACCATCAAACTTAACTATCAATGTTGTGAGCCCTAAAAAAATAGTTATCCTTTACTACTTACAACAAAAGTTATTTATCATAAAAGGTGCTATGATTTTAAGGTGGTATGATATAACTATTAGTAGATGTATAGCAACCTATTCAAAATTTGCTTTTTAATAAAAGGGTTAAGGATTTATTTATGCAACAACATTTCGTCTTATTCCTATTTTATGCAACAATGTTATATTTATACAAAATATGCATCTTAGTTATCCTATTTTATCAAATATATGTCTACATGATGATATTTACAAAAAATAAAAAATAAAATAAAAACATACCAAAATGCATAGGGTGAAGATGATATTGACATTTTTCATAAGGTTGAATATGTGGTTACCTGCCATTTATGTCATTTCCTTTTAAATTAGCAACTTTGATAAGTGCTTTATTCCATCGGTCCATCTTTTGAACCCATTGACTTCTTTTATTTTCATCTGTCTCTTCATCCATTTTCTGTTTATGCTTAGACATTGCATCTCCAAAGCTACTTTGTCGCTTCCTGACATGGGTTGGCTCCACATGATAAAAGATTGGGATGACAATATGGTTTGATTTCATACGCTGCTCAAGGATAAGCACCAATTCATCCAGACACCATGTTGAAGAAGCGTAATTCTTAGACAACACAATAATAGAAGCCCGAGATGCCTTAATTGCACTCTCGAGTTCCGGTTTCAAATCTTCCCCTGTTTCAACCTCTTCATCATCCAAGAAGGTAGTGATATTGGCATCTACAAGGGCCTCATAAAGATATTTAGTAAAATTCAGACGAGTGTCAACACCTCTAAAACTTATAAATACATCATATCTATGATCCTGAGTTGATGATCTAGGACCACAAGTTGATATACTATGGCCATGAGTTGATGAAGAAGGTGAAGATCCTTCTCGAAGTTCAGAGAGAACAACCATTATGAGTTATCTGTTGATGACACTTCGCCTACTCCAGCTGGGCAACACCTAGTATGTATTCCTACATCCAGCCCTGATCTAAGTAAGCTCTGAAACTCCTCCACCGGTTATCGAAAATGTAAGTTGGTTTCACCGGCTTTCCTCACTCTGCTTCAGTGTTAGGATCTAGTACATAATGCCTCTATAAAAAAAAAACAAATTATTAGTATTTATAATATACATAGTAAATTTCTTCAAGCAATATAAACATCAATAATAATAATAATAATAATAATAATAATAATAATAATAATAATAATAATAATAATAATGATAATATTAACAACAACAACAACAACAACAACAATAATAATAAAATTTATAATAATAATAATAATAATAATACCTTTGAATTCCTCAAAAATAAATCTTTCAAGTAATTAAAATACAATACATATGCATCTCCAAACTTTTTCATGTGAACTAATACACCTAGAAAATGTTTACATCTCATTACATGAACTCTAATTGTGTTAATATGCCAATATTTATCCCCAAACTTTGAGTTTAGAGTTAATACTGGAGCCATAATGTGTATGTGTGTTTTAACCCTCGATTTCAGATTTGTGTTCAAAAGCCATTCATAGCTTAATTAGTACTAAACTCAGTTGTCTGGTGTGAAAGAGACATGGGAATAAAGCTGAGAGAGACTGCTCTTATTTCAAACAGAAACAGGCTGATAAATCTCAACAACAGAAATCTCATGGCAGTAGCACTTATGTGACAAGTTTCTGGATCCTTTAACCAACACATATATAGCTAAGTATTGATATTGAATAACAATTACATTGCCATGGGAATCATTTAGAAAACAGTTACTCAACTAACTGACTTGATTGCCCTGTTTTTTCAGCTTATTCACTTAACCTACAACGTTCCTATTTTGATTTAATTACCCCACAACTCAACACAAAATACCATTCTGGATATTGCATAAGATATATGCAAGTTCAAGCTTTCACTAGATATCAACAAACAGTAATTTGAAGATCCAAACAGGAAAAAAAAAGTTTCTTAATTAACAACACAGATCCCCAAAATTAGCAACACCAACCTTTTTAAATTTAAATTTCTTTATCACTAGATCTAGTATCATCATATCTAATGGATTTCAACTAAAATTCATAGGTTTGTTACAAATGATATGTTTATGAAACTTACAAGCAGGGATGCTCTTTCTAAGGGTTCAATTTCAAACTCTAAACTAGATAAAACTTCAAAGTTAAATGCCCTTTATCATATCAATATCATTAAGTTTTGACTTCAATGGAGCCAATAAGGAGCCGATCGATAACATTATTTAAAAATAAATAAACTTAAAAAATCGTGTTTCTAAATTAGAAAACATAAAGGAATTGAGGAAGAAATTGTTGAAGATAACTTCGAAGACAGGAAGATAGGAGGGGAAGTTCTTTGTTCAGGAAACAGAAAAACTTTTATCACTCGCAGAATCAACACAGTTTAGAAATACATCAGAATACATATATACACAGCCGTGATACAGTTATTTCCTAACCATCTCAACTATTGATGATTAACTGTCATATATACAAATGATGATGATGTGATTTATGATTAAGAAGATAGAATTGTCTAACAATATCTGAAACTAGTTTGTATTGTAAGAATGTGTCTTCATAGTTACCTGCCTACAAGAAGATAAAGTAGACCTGAAGCAGCGATGATAACCAATAGGGATGAAGCTGAGAAAGACGACGGCTGAAAGCTACAGATCCGACGGCGGTAACTCGGCAGGGAAAACGGCGAGTCAACGAGGAAGGAAGGGCGACAGCCAGAGACGAGAGTCAACGAGGATGTTGGATTTTCCGTTTTACTTTTGCCTTTATAAATTGTATAATTGGGTTAATATTAAAGGGTTTAATTAAATTGTTTTTTTCTAGAAAACTATTGAAAATATTTTTCTAGTAGCTTTTTTTTTTTTTTTTTTTAGAAAACTACTATAAAAATCTAACAAATTAAATGGTGTCACTTTTCCACGTGCATATCAAAAAATAATTTATACTTTTAGTTAGTTTTTAAAATTTATTACAACATTTTGAAATTTAAATTTTATTACTAATACTGTACAAACTTTTGAGTAAATTACAGGAATGGTCCTCATAGTTTGTGGTAATCTGTATGTTTTGTTCCTAACTTTTTTTTTTAACTTTTCCTTATATTTGATTTTGTTGCATGGTTAGTCCCTATTAGACATAAAATGATTATATTTCTCTTATCTTTTATTTTGAGTTATTTATTATATATTCAATATTATGTAAAGATATATTAGATAATTAAATACTCGTATTTATCACTCACTTTCTTCCCCAATCCATAACCCTCCGCCTTTCTTGATGCATCTTCAGGCACCACACCACCAACTACCCCTCCTCTCTCCATATCCTACAAGACTTTTACTAAAACACTTCCTAAAGGACATTCAAATTTGGTTTACAAAACCAAAATAACCTTCACATTTCACTTAAAACAACGCTACTTCACATGAACTCTATAATAAATATCACACAAAGTTTTATAGAAAAGGGAAAAAAATCTCAATACAAGCCCAAAATTGCAAGCCTTTTTTTGGTGGAATTATCCCACGTGCCTCCCTCATTTTTCCCAATTGCCATGAATTCTTAAATTTTAATGTTTGCTACTTACTAAACCTACATATTATTGTTTGTTGGGCAATCGATGTTGTATTTTGTTTCTTTGGCTGCTATACTACATTCCTATAATGCTAAATACTCAAAGCACTAACAAGGCATTAATACATTTAATTTTTCTACAATGTTGTAACTATAACATTGTTATGAATGTCATTTTGTTTCTTTATTTACATGGTAAATCCTTAGCAAATAAAGAACAATAAATTATTTTTCGAACGAAAGAATGTCCATAACCTACAATTGATCATGTTAATGATAATACTTCGGAAGATGTTCCATAATACATTTCACACCTGAAAAGAATAATAATACCGAAAAGAGCTGGTTAATGTTGAAACTGAGAAAACTTATTTATCAAATTTAAGCGAGATAAGATTAGATTATTATTAATTGCAAAGACGGAGCTAGCCTTTATTTAGGTAATTTTTTAGATTTCAATTTCACTTTTAAATTTACGTTATTCATGTTTCAAATATATTATAATATATTCTTACGATATAAATCTCCCTTATTCCAAAATCTTTGCTCTGCCCCTTACTATTTTTTTGTTACATCGTCGTGCCTTGAAATGTCAAAATATTTGCATTATATCCTTGTTCACCAATTTCTTCTATGAGTCCAAACATATATATTTAAATACATATTATAAATATTGTTTGTATTATACCTTAATTTAGTTATTTAAATCAATAATACTTATCTCTGGTGGACCAACTAAAAAGTTACCATCCATTTAAAATTATTGGCTAACTAAGTTAATGATCATCAAATGGCCTTTGACCTAACTTTAAGGAGTGACTCTTTCTAATTAGAGATTGTGTGTTCAAGTCTATTAGGAGACATAGATATTATTTAGGAATATGTTATTTAGTTTTCCCTTTAATAAAAAAAATTATCAAGCTAATAAGCCTATATAAATATTCTTATGATTTGTTTTGTATATTATCACCATGGGGATTAAAAAATCTGATAATTATATTCATTTTATAATTTGCACATGGAATATATATAATGGTATCGACTTAGACTACAATTAGAAAAATGAACATTTAGTAGTTATTTATAGCTACATAGATTTCAGTTCAAACATTTAGGAAATCTTATAAACTTATAAAAACCGTAAGCCTGCAATTCAGTTGTAGTTAGCCCAATATAGGTATTATTTAGTTTAACAACTACTTTATTTAATCCAATAACTTAAGCCCAATAAGATATCTTTCAATACGTTTTCTAATCTTTTGAAAAATGAAAATTTGAGGTCATTCCTAATTTACCAGATGTCGCTCAATCACACGATCTCCTATTGCTCAGGTACACTGCTCCGATGGCGGCAATAAATCGACCACCGTTATTTTGTTGTGTACCGAAAAAAAAAAAAAAAAAAACATGATCTCTCCTTTCCAAACCATGCCTCTCTCGTCGGAGTCTTACAACATTGTTATAAACTACCACAGTTCATGGTCTCTGCTGGAATTAAGATTGAACTTGTCACTTTACTCTTCACCAGAGGAAAACATAAACAAAGCTCATTAGCAAATTCTTATAAGTCAACGAAGTCTATGCCGGAAAACGGATCGGAATACCTATTTCGTTTCATGTCGTTTGAGGTCAAGTGAATAACACAAAACTATATACTCATCGTTATAACAGATTAGCTTCTTAGGGTTCAAAGGATGTATGACATAGGGAAAGGACTATCTTGATTAAAAAGGAAAAAAGTCGTTAGTTGTTTCTATGTGTGCTTGAGAAACTGAATACCACAATCCAAATTGGTTGCTGAGTGCAAATTTAGATTGTTTCGAGGTCTTTGATTATGGGCTATATATGGATGCTTTTTGTATTGTGGATTTAGTTGGTTTTTGGGTGGGTATTCATAGATGTGGTATATATCACCCCCTGAGCACTCAACCACTAACAGGTCCAACAGTCAACATAGGCGTGTCACATGTGGGTCATTTTGATTGTTATGAGTTTGACATTACTAATGGTCAGCATCATATATATTATATACATGAGTAGAATAGTAAACCACTTCATAATACTACCTTGAGAAATTGGAGTAGCCTTGTTGTTTTGGGTATCAGTTGTAATTGTATTGCCTCGTGTAATGTTTGACTGTTTGTTACAAACATTTTAGGGCTATTTATTTTTTTTATTTTAGCATTATGCTTTTAATTTCTTCCTATTGCAACATTGTACTTTGAAAATTTATCCAAGTATTATCATCCGAATACAAATCAATTTTCAGAGCTGTTATTGGAGATTTTTTTTAATATTATGTCACCCTAA